AAAAATGTCAGGAAAAAATCAGTGATGATGTAGAGATTCTTTTACAGTAGGTAAAGATAGTCAAATATAAGAGTGACTTTTCTTCTCTTCCTCTTACATTGTAGTTATATTTTTGTTCATTTGTTTTTGCGATAGTTGACTTTGGGCTTGGAAGAGTTCAAATAAACTCAAATATAGAGGTATATCGCTTGGTGTTTCAGGAAATAACTAGAAAGCATGGATGCATACATGTTATCTTTCATAATACAGACAAAGCCACTTGCTTCTAGGGTGCCACAGGTTTAACATTTTGTGGTGTATAAGGTTTCTTCTGCTTGACCATCAAATTCTGCATAAATCATAACATGAGCAAAGGGCTTGCAAGGAAATGAATTTCAGAAAATTATGATCTAGAAGATCTAGAAACACGGTATTTAAAATTGGACTTTTGTGATTCACAGTAGGGGTGGGGAAGGTTTTCTGTTGTGGACCACGCTCATGGATAGAAAAATAGATGAGGGCAAATCAAAAGCAACTAACAACTTATATTCAGATATAAGTTGTTTGATGTAGGAGAAAAGTGGAAGAAAGAGAAAGTGTTAAGAACATAGGTGGGATAATTCAGTGAATTCCGGGAAATCTATATATGTACAGTCTCCATTAGGGCTGGCTTAAAAGAGAAAGAAAAAGAAACTGGTTACAAAAAAAGAAGAAAAAAACGATTGGGGGTAAAGGAGTGAAGCACCCAAAAACTGATATTGGAGAAGGGAGTACATACATTAATTCACATTTTCTCCATGCTGCCTCTCTCTGCCCCAAGTGTTTCCAACTGCAGTCACCTCAGCTCTACTCCTAACCAATGACTGGGCGCTATTTTCTTTCTTCCATCCTACTCCTTCATTGGTTGACTCTACTCTCTGGTGTTTCAGGAAATAGCTAGAAAGCATGAATGCATGCATGTTGTTGTCTTTTATAGCATAGACAAAGCCACTTGCTTCTAGGATACCATGAGTTTAATATTTTGTTAAAACTAAAGAGCTTTTTACTATTATATTTGCCTTCCTCCTCCAAGTAACTTGAAATCAAGAATGGACTCAGTGTCAATTTTCCTTGAATCTCACCATTTGCCCAAATGCCACAGTCACCTTTTAGGAAAATAAGTACTTCTTTAGAACACTGGTCTAGGACTCGGCAGGTCTTCCATTTTTCAAGAACGGGGTTTCTTTGTTGCTTTTATGGGAAAACAACTGGATGTGAAAAGGGAGGAAATTCATTAACTGATTCTAAAAGTGACACTGGACTTTGCCTGGGTCACATGGCAAAATAAGAACATTCAGAACATAGCTGCCTAAAACTAGGAGCACAAACCAAAGCCTATGTTCATTTACTTTTTCTTGTAAGTACATTTAGGTTTCAAATGTGTTTTCTCCCCTTCACTTCTAAAGTCCTACCCTACCCTCTTCATTCCCCTATCAACTCCCCACCTTTCTGCTTCCCTTCCCTGCCTGAACAGAGATCTTCCATGGTAAATGGAATAACACTCCCATCCCAAAGATGTTCATGTCCCAGTTCCCAGAACCTGTAAATCCATTATATTGCATGACAAAGAAGTCAGGTTGCAGTTGGAATTAAGGTTGTTCACTGCTACCCTAAAGTAGAGAGATTATCCTTGGATCCTTAAAAGTAGAAGAGATGGACAAAAGAGAAATCAGAGTCAGAAGGAGAAGTGACTTTAGAAGAGGTCATAGTGATATGATGTGAAAAGGATTCTGCTCACCTTTGCCAGCTTTGAAGATGGAGGAAAGAGTCATGAGCCAAGGAATGCCAGCAACCTCTAGAGACTAGAAAAGAAAAGGAAATGGATTCTCTCATAGAGCCTTAAGAAGGAACACGGCACTATTACACCTTGATTTTAGCACAGCCATGAAATCAGACTAATGATCTCCAGAACTCTAAGATAATAAGTTTGTATTATTTAAGCCCCAACATTTGTAGTAATATGTTCCAGCACAATAGAACTAAGACATCTTCTATCCCTGCCTCCTAGGACACATACTTCCCTTTACAGTTGAATGAAAATAATAGGTCACTTAATCAGGTCATAGCAAGTTTGTTGGCGAATGAAAGAGAAACCTTTAATGGTGATATAAATAAGATAGGCACTTATTTCTCTTTCCTATCAAAGGTGGCCAGTCCACAGCTGGCATAGTGTCTTCACAGAGTCAGTAAAGATCCAGATCCTTCCTGCTTACCCGAGTGTGGCTGTCATTCTAGAGGTTTAAGATCGACTACCATGGTCAACACAGATGCCCTCTAGGCTAGTAGCAGGTGGAAGGAAAGGCAAGGGGTACAACGTCACCCTTCAAGAACATTTCTGTTTTTATCTCATTGACCAAAACTTAGTCATGTAACTAACTATACCTAGCTATAAGGGAGGATTGGAAATGTATCTTTCAGCAAAATATACCTCATTAAAATTCAGAATTCTTGTGGTCTCTGTTACAAAGGAAAAAAACAGTATTGGAAGAGGTATTAGGAAGAGGTATTGAAAGACAAGATGTGTTCTCTGCCACAGGTCACTGTCATCTGGTATAGATTCAAGTACAGAAAAGTAGCTGGCCAGTTTCCCAAAGCTCCCTCAGGCCTAGAGGATTTGGTAATTTTATGATCATTCCAATGTGATGGATTAATTCTACTTTGGCAGAAACATTGGCTACGCAGACAGAACAGGGTTCAGGGTCATGGCTGCTTCCAGTTTTGAATGAATGAAAGAGTTAGGCTATCCTATCTGTTTAGTCAATACTCTTATCTTGGTCCTGTGAAGTCTTTCTAGGCTGTTAGATGTTTGTTTAATTGTGTGGGGGGGAGATATAATTTCCCTGTGGGGCTGAGATGATTGGGTCCGTAACCATGCTGATGAAATCATAATGGCTAAAGTCTCCTTTTATTTTTGTGCTTTTACATGTAATTCTTCCTCCCTTCATCTTCAAGAGTACAAAGTAGAGTTCAGATAAATTTGTGACTTCAAAAATTCCTTCAATCTTCCCTCCCATTTTATTGTCTCCAAACTCTTTGAAAATAAATTGAGAGAACAGTTAATTATCCTCCAATGTATTCTGTAAGTGCTGCTGGTGGGCTTATTTTGCGGTCTTCTTTATAAAATAACACTCTAGGAAGGGACTTGTATGTTTACAGAGGTTATACATAATTTCTGTTGTCTTGAGGAATTAGATATCAAGAAATAACTACTAAAGGAGATCATTTATAGACTTGCTGTTTTAGTAATTAAAACAAAAAGTGTTTCTTGATTTTAGTGGGCAGGTAAAAAAATATATATATACAGAATTTGTTACGGGTTATTCTTCTTTCCCCAGGTTTTGTGTTTTCTCTTTCCTTTTTAAAATAAGTAACCTCATCCTACTTCATCCCTAGATAAAAAAAGATTTCCCAAAGCTAGCAGAAGTCACGGTTCTTGATACAATGCCTTCAAAACAAGATCCCACTAGCACTGACTGAGGCAGTGTTTAATGCTTCTTGTTTCTTGGGTCATGCACTTTGGTCAAATTGATGTTCTTCAATATTGCTACACTATTGGTTGTTGATGACCTCAAGGGGCATATTTACATAGTTGGTCTGAAGTAGCATATGGCACCTTGACATAGAGCAAGACCTGTTCAGAATGTGGGGGAAATGAGCACTGAAAATAAAATAGGGTACTTTCCAAGATGAACAACAAGAATAAAATGAAATGGTGTGTCAAGAAAGGATTAGAAGAGAAATGAACTTGGGATAAAACTTGAAGAGCATGGGAAGCACAGATTGGGGGGGTCTGGCAGAGCCAGACAAAGAAACCATCTCATAATCCACCTCCGTACAGAACTCCACTCCCGAAACATTTATGTTCCATTTCCATATTTATTAAAGTAATACGTTTGTTATACTTAATTTAGAGTGACACTGGTGAGCCAATTGATGTGTTTAACAATTTAAACATGGCATTCCCTCCCCCTTGACATGATAGACGTGTTCCTGAAGAACTGTAAGTAATGTAGATAGTTGTGAATCAAGCCATATTTCAAAGAGAGTGGGGGAAGGATGTCTATTTACAACAATGCTGGACTAAGTGACACTGGAAAGCCAAGCCTCCTATTTCAGTATCTCTGCAATATAATCGATTGAGGTGGCCACTATTAACCAGGAAAGTAGGGTTGAGCCCATCAGGAGAACATTGAAGACGATGTCTTTTCTTTTTTTTATTTTTTGAGGCAGGGTCTTGCTCTGTAACCCAGGCTGGAGTACAGTGACACAATCAAGGCTCACCATAGCCTCGACCTTCTAGGCTCAGGTGATCCTCCCGCCTCAGTTGCCCAAGTAGCAGGGACTGCAAGTGTACACCACAACACTTTGCTATCTTTTTTTTTTTTGGTAGAAATGAGTTCTTGCTATGTTGCCCTGGCTGGTCTTGAACTCCTTGGTTTAAGCAATCCTCCTGCCTCAGTCTCCCAGAGTAGTGGGATTACAGGCGTAAGCCACCATGTCCAGCCTTTAAAAATGGTGTCTTTAGTTCTGAAGGTATTTATAATTTACCATTCATTCCTCTGCTCACCCTTCACTCATCCTCTGAGGGCACTGAAAACAGTATCTGACAATAGCAACTCCCAATAAACAACAACAGTAATAATACACACTACCACCCTTCCCATTTTTTAAATAAATTAAGATAATTTAGTGTCTTGCTTTCTTAATGTGGCAGCATGTTTTATTCTACATGCTTTGGTAGATAGTCTTCTTTTTTTCTTCTTCTTTAAAAAAGAGATCGGGGAGGTGGGGAGAGTTGGAGAATCAAGCGTCATTATGGTCTGCCTGCCCATCAGACGTAGTGTTGCCTGGGGCTGTGGAGGGCTGGAGGTGCCAGGCCTGTCTGAAGCCACTGTTCTGAGATTCCCCACTTGTGATAAACCTGTACATTTGGTGACTCATGACTTCTCTCATATATTTGTCCACTTTGTTTTCTTTCCTAGTGTGTCTGAAAACCCCTCCCAGCACTCCGATGGCCAGCAACAACACCGCCAGCATAGCACAAGCCAGGAAGCTGGTAGAGCAGCTTAAGATGGAAGCCAACATCGACAGGATAAAGGTGAGGACAATCTAACCCCCACGCTTCATCTAGCCTGATTGTAAAGAGCACAGTTTGCAGGCATCTTGTCAATTGACTGCTCTTCCATAGAGAGAGATGAAACCAGGGATGACAGGAAAGTACCTTCATGATTAGGTAGCAAGTAGAATTTTTCATTTTTCTAATGTGTCTTTGCCTCCTCTCCAGCATAAAATGATAGAATAAATCAAAACTGGCTCTCCATGGAGTTAAAAACAAAATAACAACAAAACCAAAAAGCAAGGCTAAATTCCAACCGAATAAATCGGAGAACACATAAAACATATCAGTCCATCAGTTCACCTCCCTTACCTTGTGGAGACCCTGGTCTCATTTGGGTTTCAACTTTTTCTGTCCTGATTCACGTTATAAGGTTAAGTGCCCGTCTTTTGTATCTACCCCTGCTATTCATCATTGCAGGTTATTTGTTTTCTCTTCTTTATTCTTTATTGGTTGTTTTTTTTTCCTGCAAAACACAAAAGTCACACCTAGTCTTCCTAAGGAGTCAAACAACATAGAGGTGTAATAAAAGTTCATAGTCTCTGTCTTTCTTTCTCTCACTCTCTAGACCTAACCTGACAGCTTTGCCGTAAGTTGAAGCTAATTCACACTGAACCAAGACTTCAAAATCCAAACCCTTTGTTGGCAGATTTCAATGAAAAGTTGGCTGGCACAGGGTCATTATTAATAGATAGTTATGACAGGGTGATAAAGTGAAATTTTGTCAGCCATCAAAATTTTACCCAATCACTTTATGAAGTGCAACTCAGAAATGTATCTCATTTTATTGAAAGGAAACTAGAGCAATCTTTCAAATGCCTTTTTATTTTTATTTTTATTTTTTTGAGTTGGAGTCTCACTCTGTTGCCCAGGCTGGAGTGCAGTGGCCGCTCCCGGCCCCAGCAGCCTCGACCTGCTGGGCTCCGGTGATCCTTCCGCCTCAGCCTTCCGAGTAGCCGGAATTACAGGCATGCGCTACCACGCCCGGCTGATTTTTTGATTTATTGTAGAGATGAGGTCTCGCTGCCCAGGTGGGTCTCGAACCTGCGGGCTCAGGCAATCCACTCACCTCAGCCTCCCAAAGGCACAGGATTACAGGCTGAGCCACCGAGCCCGGCTCAAATGCCTTTTTAAACTAGAATATTTTTTCTATTTCCTTCATAACTGACTCAGAAACATGGGCAATCCAGTCATCCCTTGGAGTGTGAAAGGGTCAGTAAACTTTAACTTATGAGCCAAATCCAGCCCACTGCCTATTTTTATAATAGAGTTTTATTGGAACATATTCATTTACCTATTGTCAATGTTGTTCACCCTTCAACAGTAGAAGAGAATACTTGTAACAAGGACCATGTGATCCAGAAAGCTAAACTAACTTTCCACCAGGTGGGGTGGCACACGCCTGTAATCCCAGCACTTTGGGAGACCGAGGCAGGAGGATTTCTTGAGCCCAGAAGTTTGAGAACAGCCTGGGCAACATAGTAAGACCATATCTCTACAAAATAGCAAAACAAATTAGCTGGGTGTGATGGCAGGTGCCTGTAGTTCCAGCTACTCAGGAGACTGAGGCAGAAGGATTACCTGAACCCAGGGGGTTGGCCCTTTACAAAAAGTTTGCTGATTCCTCCATCTAGAGCAATGGTTCTCAGACCATCTGTGCATTTAAAACATCCAGAGAGTTCTAAAAAAGGACCAATTCCTAAACCAATTTAATTCGAATCTCTTGGGGGTATAATCCAGATATTAGTATTCTTTTTAATTCTCAGTTACTTCCACTGTATAATTATATTAGTCTGATTTGTGATTGCTATAAAAAAAAATACCCGAGCCTGGGTAATTTATAAAGAAAAGGGTTTATTTGGCTCATAGTTCTGATAGCACTGGCACCTACTTCTGATGAGGCCTCAGGAAGACTATAATCATGGCAGAAGGTCAAGGGGGAACAGGCATGCCACATGGTAAGAGTGGAAGCAAGAGAGAGAGAAGGGAAGTGCCAGGCTCTTTTAAACACCCAACTCTCATGAGAATTAATAGATCGAGAATTCACTCATCACCATGAGAATGGCACCAAACAATCATGAGGGATCCACTCCATAACCCAAGTACCTCCTACTAGGCCCCATCACCAACATTGGGGATCACATTTTAACATGAGACTTGAGGGGACAAACATCCAAACCTTATCAACAGCCAAGACTGAGGACCACTGACTTGGGGAAGGGGTTTGTGCTTTCTAACTCTCAACAGGTGTGCGCTAGAGTGAAGGGAGAGCTTGTCCTTCTCCATATGTGAGCTGAGCAAATATCCACGGACAGTTGCACACCTGTCCTAAGTGTCCTTTGTAAAATTTGACTCCTAGTAATGGGCCACAGGATTCAATCAGTTCCTGCTCTTCTGTCAACAGCCTTAATTCATCTGTATTCATGAATGATATAAATAAAGGGTCCTTCTCGTCTGCCTTGCTTCTTTGCCACCTTCCTCTTTTCCTCCTTTCTTGTTTCCTCTTTTTTACTCTCTTGCTAAAGAGGTACAAAATGACAGGTGGGCACAATAACTGCTGAGAAAAGTAAGGTGGTCCAAGGCTTGTAGTATCAGAAAGGGTCATTCAATTCTTCTTGAGGGGGAGAAGGTTCTGGCCATGAGCCTTCTGGAAAATACCACTTTGACTTCTAGGGCAGCCCAACTAAGATAAAAGTTTGCAAAGCTCTGTTGGCATTTCCCGTCACTACCTAGCATTCTTGGGTACTGTTCCTGAAGAAGGACGTGATACACTGATGGGTGATGAAACTGACAGCAGAAGGAAGAGAACAGAAATAGAACTTTCCAGCAATAGGCCAGACTTCATCATCCTCACCTGAATGACAGACTGCAAGGGGCTCCTACCTGCTCTCTGCAGTCCCATCTCAACCCATCACCATCCCTGTCATCAATTCCTCTCCATATTGCTGCCAGAGATGATGTTCCAGAAGAAAATCTCATTATGTTCCTTTCCCACTGAAAATCATCTTATGAGTCCCCATCCTCTGTGAAATAAAATTCAAACTCTTTAGCAGAATTCACAAAGCTCCTCTGGCCATGCCATCTCCAGCTTTGTCCCCATCCTCTCTCGCACATGCCATATTGAACCACTCTGAATTCCCTTGATGGAAATTTCAAATGCTTAGAACATTCTATCTCCTTGTCTCCTCTACCTTCCTGCTTTACTGGTGCTTAATGGCATTGACTCCTTGAAGATTCAGACGAATCATTAGATTCTGTGTTTTCCTAGACCCTCATCGTAAGGCTGGACTTTTGCTGTGTGTTTGGTTATTCATTCATTTGCTTCTCTAACAAACATTTTACTGATAACTTTCTAAGTTGCTGGGATTTTTTAGATTCTAGAGATATGGGGATGGATTAAAAAAACCTGATTCTTGCCCTCAAAGATCTCTAGACTAGTAGGGGGTTACAAAAAATAGGAATAAGACCTATTATTGACGCAAATAAGATCTCCAAGAAGCATAATTACCAAATGTCATCAGAAAGAAGCTAATGCCACACCCTGACTTCCCTTTGAATAGACACAAATAAATCGCTACTTAAAAAAAAAACCAAAGCATTAGCCTAATAAACTGAGCGCCGAGTGGCTTCCTTCCTAGGTGATCTTCACATTCAAACCTCTGAATCCTGCTTGACGTCATTAGACCTTAAATTGTTAGAAATATAGCAGCATCCTGTATTTCAGCATTTGTTCTGCACCTCAGAGCCAGGCAGGCATGCTGTGGTGAAGTGACAGATTATTTTTAGTTTAGCTGTTGGATGAAATGTCGGCTGTGTTGACATAGTTGTCAGCTAGCTGGTACAGAGCTTGGTTATCTGCCTTTAGGAGTCCTTTCAGGACGTCTGAGCATTCAGCCTTTACCTACTTCCCATGCACAATCCTGTTAGCAGGAAGGGGCTTCTCTCTGAAGACCCTACATTTGTGATTTTCTAGTTATCATAGTGACCTCTTCAAGCTATAAAGGATAGCAATGGCTTTATGCATACCTGGCAGAACCTATGGCTGAGGTGACAAAGAACAGGACTCTTAAGAAGGGACAATGGGTACACAGCAGCACAGGAGCTGTTGAGGGTCCCTTAAGCAGGTGATGATCTTCATGTGGCCTCCAGAATAACTTAGGCTGCATAGGCGATCCCTACTCTATGAATAGCATATTCATATGAATGACATAATCATTTTTAAACCTTCTTGCTTCCTATCTCTTTATGTCACAGATCCTGGGAGATTTGAGCTAATGAACCCATTATCTGTTCATAAGCCTCAGGCATATCTAAATTATACTCTAGCCTTTCTGTATTTCTTTGTTAGCATTTCACTCAAGGACAGAAAGTAAAGAGAAATAGAAGGAAAATAAGAAGAGTGTTCAGGGGAAGTGGGAGAGAGGGGCTGTAGATTGCAATACCTATATTCAAGGGGGAAACCAAAAAATCTGGAATTATTTTTTGGAGGATGGGCCCCTTATAGTACAGGCTTCCTCCACTAGGTAAGTGTTCTAGGAACCCATCAGAATTAGTGCACCAGCTAGCATTGTTGTGAGAGCCTGTGTTCAGCTTCAGTGAGTTTTTTCTCTTGGAGATTCTGCCAACGTGTTTGCCCATCTCATGATGGGTGATTTACGAGTGCACCTGTCCACATTGTGTTCAGCAGTTTTTGACCAAAACGGCATGACCACCATGCCTCACTCTTCCTGTTTGTCTGATCTTGCCCCTAAGCGACTTTTTGTTTTGTTTTCCCAATGAGTTCTCAAAGGGAAACATTTTGCCGGTGTGGAAGCGGTGAGACAAAACAACAGCAGAAGCATTAAAATGCATCAAAATTGATGAGTTCGAAAACTGTTTTGAGCAGTGGAAAAGTGTCTTGGTAGGTGTATTGCATCAAATGGAGGGTACTTTGAAGGTGACTGAAGTTTAAACATGTAAGAAAATACACACAATTTTTTACA